TTTCATGTCATTAGCACCTCTAGTAATATATTTACTGAGAAATGTTGACGTGTTCAATATTTATTTTACCCACTGTAAAATGATCCAACACAAACAGAATTATTCCTGTGACGGTTCAGAGGCGACAGGTCAACCCTCCGGTCACCGTGATGGTCTCTCCGGTGATGTAGGAGGCCTCCTCCGAGCACAGAAAGGCAACCACTCCTCCGACATCCTCGGGCTCTCCGATCCTGAAGGAACACAGACGTACAGAGGAAAAGGAACTTATTTACATTCTGGAGAACAAAAAACATTTCATTAAAAGCTTTTTTTTAACGTCACCTTTTAATGCTGAGCTTCTTTTTTAACTCGCTCATGGCGTCKTCATTTTGCCATAACTGTAACACAAAACGCATCACATTGTACATTGTAGAAGCTCTTTGAACATCCTCATTTTGAAGAAATGATTTGTTTCTGACCAGACTGTTGAGCTAACAACCATCCAAACAGGATCAAGACTAACACAGACAACTGTTGCCTTAAAAAAACAAACATAACAAAGCCTGTTTTATAAAACATTTCAATCAATGTCAATTTTACTTTATACAGAAAGTTAAACATCCATCTGTGAAACTATTCTGTAGATTTCTGACTTTGTTTTGTCTCGTTATTAAATACACCTASCAAACACAGCAGTGATGTTAGTTCACAGTGAGGCTGTGTGTAACTCAGTGCACTGTGGGGTCTCACAGGTTAAAATCTTGTTTGTTTGTTTTTTCTGACTCTAAGCTCTATAGCAGGTTTTGTGCTATTTCAACAAGTTATATATCAAAATGTTCAGGTTCTTCGGGACATCCCTGCTATGACTTTTGTAATTTCAGCAATTTATACTTTTTGAGATAYTGAGCTTTTTCTGACGTTTTTTTCCTCATTTACCGTGACTAGATTTGTCGTCAACATCCTCAAAACCTTTTAAAATGTTTATAAATCTGTACCGCACTTTTCACCTTTTGTTCTGGTTCAGTTTTCTTTTTGACTTTTTATAACCAATTTCAGATTCCATCGACTTCTATTATTT